CGATAAAACCACGTGATTTAAAATGATAAGCATTAATTTGTACTATGGACTTGCGTTTCTTTTGTGGGCCACTGTATATATATACAAGTAATTTGAACACAGTTTTTTGTGAATTGTAACTTATTTTATAATCATTTGAATCCGCTCTTTATTATGCATTTATAAATAAATAAAAATTAGTTTCAATTAAAATAATATCAAAATATAGCAAATTTTACATTTTCTAAATTATTGTGATATATAATGACTCAATTTCAATCAATCATAATTGACAGAAAGCTTTCAGTGAAGCGAATATGATTGTTTTAATTTTATATCTTCATAATCAATATCTTACAAGATATTCACATTTATAAGTTCTAATGCTAATCAATATTTTTGAAGAAAAATGTTTCAAATAGGATAGAAAAAATTATTAGCTCACAAGTTATTAAAGTTAAAAAAATAAATACTGTATAGTCAACCCTCTCTAAATGCACCCTCTCTAAATGCACACACTATATATTTTCTCTCTAAATGCATGCTCTCATTCAGTCCCAAGCATATAGAATTCATATAGAAATTTTCTCTTTAAATGCACACCCTCTTTAAATGCACATTTTTTAAAATTTTCACTATGATCCTGAGGGGGTGCATTTAGAGAGGGTTGACTGTATATATATGTTAGTGCTCAGGTATTTTCTTTATAGTATAAGTTATGAAAGAACAATGGAGGTTATTGTAAAGTTTATTAAGAATAGGTGAAGGTTGAGAAGGAGCCAATAAAAAGAAGATAAGTGTTTAAGGTTATAAAAATATGAATAATACCAATATACTCTAGAATTATCTGTATATTAGCATAGAAGTGTCATGTATATTTATTTTAATGCATTGCATATATTGCTATCTGATTAACTTGATATGTGGGATTGTGTATAATAAAACCTTAATTTGGTTTTGTAAATAATTTAATGAAAGTGTTTTGGAAGTGTCTGTAAGTACTTGTCAAAGACTCACCAGAAATTTTCTGCTTTCTTCAAAATTAGTATGGTGACTTATGTTGTTTTTATTTACTAATAGTTCGCAATCAGAAATTTAATCCATGCTGTCTTTACGTTTACCATATCGATCTGTGAACATATTTTCACAAGACATGTCTTGAGAAGCATGTTTATATGACAGAAATAAAATACTCTTTATGTTCTTATAATCATTGAACTGATTAGAGAAGAATCGGCACTTGCTTTTAGAGAATATTTCATAGAGAAAAAATGATCTGGAAAAAGTGATATTGAGAAGGAACTCATAGTTTCGCTAGGATTTATAAGGGATGATTCTTATGCTTGGCAAGGGAGTTAAACAAATCAAATTACACGCAAGATCAAGCTATATGCTTCATCGTAGCTGCGGAGTTATCCTGTTAATAATAGGTAAATGATGCGATACTTGCAAATTCGTATGTTCACATTCCAAGAATTACTCATGAACAGGAAAAATGCATTAAAACCTTAAAAATAAAAGCCAGAACAGAGTAACAAGTATAGATGGGATATTCGTATAAAAAACTAAAAAAAAAAATTCTAAAAAAAGGAGAAGACATAATTTATCATTAATATAAAATCAGCAAAGTTGGCAAAGAAATGGTGATACGAGAAATGTTTTTCAGTCTTATCGAATCTTATAGATTGATTAAAGATGATTTTCTAGATCTTAAAATCTAAAAAGGAAAAACAAAATTAAGGACCAATAATCTTAAGGTTAGACCCTAATTCCGATCATACCTTAAATAAAACGTGTAAGTTCAACCAGTGATCATTTTTCACTGTGCGGCTTGTACGTGTCACACAGTTTTATAAATTTATGCACATCTTTTCAAAAAAAGTGTGCGCCACTCTGCACAGAAAAAATTTTATAATACCGCATATTGCGCACAATTCCGCACAATTCCGCACAGTTACGCACAGTTATACAAAGTTATACAAATGTAAATTGACCCCCATAAAATGTTTCACAACATGATCTGATGATATATAATTAACTAATTAAGAAGTTCATTCAACAAAATTTTATATTTAAAATCAAATTTTTCATGATGAAAAGATTTTTTTCAACTCAGCAAGCTCAAAAAGGCAAGCAAAAACAGTCTGAATCTCATGGTGAAGCTTCATTTAATAAAAGACCAGATTCAACAAAACCATCTGGAGTAAAATGTCGCAAAACTAGAAATAGCCCTGATCCAAAATGAATGGATAATGGAAATAGTGCATGGTTAGAATATAAAGATGTATATGGAGTAGTATTGATGTTTTATAGATGGTGCGAAGCGAAAAAATACACAAATGAGCTTGCAAAAGAAACAAGTAATTACCAAAAACAAAGTATTGATCGATATCTTGCTCATCATGAACATAAAGCAAAAGCAAAGGCAAGAAAATCCAATCAAAGTAATTTAGTAGTTACATTTTCACGTCAATTAGATGCAAATAAAATTAAAGTTATA